GCAAGTCCAGGTGAATCGTCGCCCTTTGACCCACAACCCCTTGTGAATGGAAATGGATCCCCTAGGAAGCCAAACGAGCTGGCTCAGTCATTTACATTAATTGGCCTTCACAATTCCAGTGGAGCTTTTACTGAGTCAAATTAAAAAACCCTGAAGACCTTGAGTAACCCAACCCGACCTCCCACGCCCCGCCCCTACTGGGCACTCATAGTGCTCAGTGCTTAGAGCAAACTGAGACCTAAGATAATGGTTCTGTTTAAGTGCTGTACGTTAGGCCCCATGTCTCCAGTCCCCTTTGAAAGACATTAAGAAGTGCATTGTGTTATGGCCAAAATCCAGCCCCTCCTTCATGGCTGTGGAGGGCCCTTTGGCAGCAGAACTGGTGTGGTTCCAATACGTAAGGTAGGGCTGGATGTGGGGGCCACCTGTGACATTAGGATCTGGGCCTTTAAGGGCTGAGCTTCCAAGGCAGAGAGTCTGTGAGGGATGCTGTGAAGCTGCTTAGCTAGCTGGAACAGGACACAGAATAAAGCAGAACTCTTCTAAGCACATTAAGCACCGAGTGACCACTGAACACTACAATGCACAGCTGAACCAACACCCACCAGCTCTAACTTCCACTTGCTTTTAATACCCCCCTCGAGGCAATTACACTGGCATAGCACACCAGAGCACAGTGCTCGCTGCCCCCCCCCCACACACACACACACTCTCTGTCATGCTCCCTCCTGCCCAGGGATGTGGGGAATGGGTAGCATAGAGATAGCTACTGTGGCTTCTCATTACCAAGGGATTCCGTCTACAATCAGGGCATGCCTTAGGGCACCTTCCCAACTGCTTTATGCTGCTCAAAGCTTCCAGAACGGGGAGGCTGAGGTACTGGCCCAGAGTGTTCATCATATATATTTATCAGGGTTTAGCTACTATGCCAACAGATAGATTATATATTAAACCAATGCATGGACTTGCACCAGATCTATATTTATTATCTTCACTGAGGGCGTGGCTCATAAGAAACTGGTTTGAGAAACCCCCAAATCAATGAGGTTTCTAGCAGCTGTCTGTTCTAAGTCAGTCATTTAACTTCAGCCAGGCAGTTAATGGCATATGTTCCACAGCTAGCACATGTTCCTTTTACAAGCCACTATGCCATCTGGTATCCCACCACATGGGCTCCCCTCACCTGTTGAGACTGCCTGTTCCACCCTCTGGGTGAACATAGTTATATATGTAACCTGTGCCCTTCATTTCCCAGCAGCCACTTGCTGCTCAGGCTGTGCAGGACAGGTTAAACACAGTTCCAGACGTCAGCATTTAATCCCACATGGATACCTAAGTAAGGTTCTTTGCTTGCTGAAGAAAAATTAGTCAATGTATTTTTTGAAACCAGAAGCTTTACCTCGAACGTGAACAAATGACACTCTGCAAGAGTCACTCCCAGGTGTAGGCTCATCCATACTCTTAAGGAGGACGGTTCAGATAGTGAAACTGCTGCTCAGATTTGTTTTAAACACGCAGGGCCAAAATCTGCCCTGATTTATAGGCACCGCACTGACATTGGGAATTTGACTTTAAAGTAATACAGGTAGTAATGGCAGCGAAGCAGCAACTTTTTTAAAATTGCGAATGAATTTAGAGCTCATGAAAATTAAAGACTAATTGCTAACATAGCTCAGTCAGACACGGTGAAAGTTTCCCACATGCAACTCTGCCAATGCCTCTCTAACCTGACCTGCAGCAGCTCCTGCTATTCCAGGCCTTGGCTCTCCATACAGTGCCCCACAATGCACCAAAACGCTGATCTGCAGCACCCTTCGCACACAATGCCCAGTTCTGAGTTGCAGTCCCTTCCACTTTTCCATCGTTGGGTCTTTCTGGAGCAAAAAAGTGCTAATCATGCTGACCTGTGTGGACTTGCACATGAGGAGTGTGCTACCAGCATATTAGAAACCCCGAGTCTGGGCTTCCAAGGCCTGGTCTTACACTACGAAGTTAGGTCGACATAAGGCAGCTTATGTTGACCTAATATGTCAGTCAGTGCCTACACTACAGCTTTCCTCCCACCGATGTAAGTGCCCTACTACACTGACATAATAACTCCACCTCCAGGAGAGGCATAAGGCTTATGTCGGTGTAGTTAGGGTGATGCAATGTCTGTGTAGACACTGTGTCCTTTACATTGGCTGTCCTGTCTTGCAGGAGTCGTGAAATTGACAGGAAAGCCCTGCTCCCCTGGAGAGCTGGGCAGCTGGACTCTGCTCCCAGCTGGGAGCCAGGGTGAGAAGCCCAGGGGACTTCAGGCTCCGATCCCATCTTGGAGCCAGGGCGAGAAGCCGGGGTGACTTCCTCCCCGCTTCTGGCAGGGAAGGGGCAGGCAAGAAGCCCTGGGCAACTTCCCCTGCTCCCTGTGAGGAGTGGGGAGCAGAATGGGAGGCAGCCACGCCAGGAGCCTGTGGGGCAGCCAGGCTCCTGGCAGGGAGCTGCTAGAAGATCTGAGAGACCAGGCTCTCACCTCCCCACACTGTCCCTCTTAGGTCGGTGGAAGTGCTCCTGGTGAGGACAAGCACTCGATCTAAGGAGAGTAGTGTAGACATACATAGTATAGACAGTAGTGCAGTAATTACTGTGGTGGTTGTAAGGCGGCCTAGTTTTGTAGTGTAGACATACCCCAAGACAAGAGTCTGCATTTAGCACACAGCATACTTCTTCTATGACAGACTATATGCCTGGACCTACATCACTGTCAGCTTCAAAAGGGAAGCCATTAAAAGCGTTAAAGTCACTTGTTCAGCTACAGAAAATGAATGCACAAACTAATACAATGAGCTATTTACAAGTCTGCAGAAGGAATTAGATACCTGTTATGTAATCCTATTTCTGCCCTTTGAAACAATCAAAAGATTTCATATGCATTTAGTAAGACATCATCCAAAAAAACAGTTATGCAAAACGGAAACTATGGATTTTAATTCCATAAAGGCATTCTCTCTGCTACTGTGTGGTGTCATCAACTAAAACAATGTTAATTCTTCTCTTTCTTTCTTTCTTTTTTATTTCAGGGATTCACGTTGTGACTTTGGAAGTGAAGGTTTTATCTGACTAGAGCCATGCACAAAGTCAGTAGACTACACAGGTGTCCCCAACACAGCTCTGCGAATGCACATGAATCATGACCTGCTATAGCCATGCCTGTTCCAGTCCAGAGCTTCTCTTGAGCAGAGACTGCCAAACTTGCTGAACTGTGCCCAATTTTTGCTGATAGGAACAAATTCATCTTCAAGTGGATCTGAGTCACGATGTGAATTCAAGGGTGAAATCCTGGCCCCGTTTAAGTCAATGGCAAAAAACCTCCCAATCACTGGGGTGAAATACCCCAAGTCTCCTGGGAGGAAATACTAGTCATTCTAGACATCTAGCCAAACTTTGTATGAGAGAAAGCTGTAAAAATCCTGTATTTCCCCAAGAAGGTTTTCAGCATTCACTATAAAGACAAGTCACCTGCTTTGCTCTCGAACACGCAGTCCCCAAGCCCATATCCTAAACTGAAAACAGCTTGTACAGAATAATCCAAATATTTCACTCAAAAAGCTTCTTCAGTCATGATAACAAAGGTTGTCTGTTTACAGGCACATCCCACACCTGCAAAATGCCACATTTTACAACATTGCTCGTAAGAGGGAATGATAACAAGCCATTTAAACCATGTAATACTCATTGGGCATATTGTGGTCCATGCATCACTTTATTGAGAATCCAACCACAATTCTGACACCAAACGTGCAACTTTTGGCTCTCCTGAGAAAACTGTTCTTGGGTGTAGATCTTGGGATTGCCTTATAGTGAGATTTCCTTACAGTTGGGGAGGCAGTGTGCCTAGCAGACAGAACACTATGCTGGGACTCTGGAACCCTGGGTTAATAGCTCTGCCACTGGCCTGTTGGGTAACCTTGGGCATGTCACTTCATCTCTCTGTTCTTAAGTTTCCCTTTGAGATCTACTGCTGAAAAGCACTCTATAAGCGCTAGGTGTTCTAGGAAGGTTGAAAGAGTAGAATCACATTCTTGTTAGTGCCAGATCTTAGCATAATCCACTTAATTGTAGCCAGTTCTGAGATCCTTCTTGCTTAGTTCTGCATTAGTCAATATTCCCACCATCCTGGGATGGATTGGTTTGTTTGGAGCTATCGCTGCACGAACGCTGCACACACACACACACACACACACACACTCACCAAAGCTCTAGGCACTTTCACAAATATATAAATACACATCACAATTAAAATCACTGTATCTGCACCCTACAACAAAGCAACATTTCTCCACCACACCAATACAGTTACACTAAGCCCTCCTGGCAACTCCTAGCAGTTAAACCAAGAGAGAATCTAGCTCAAGAAACTACGCCATCCACAACCGTGGTAGCACAGCAGGGGAAGAGAGCCAGAGTAGCCAGGGCCCAAACCAGTTAGGGATAAAACCACACAGGGAAATGGCTAAGCAGCCAGTGCAGCTCACAGTCATAGGCTAAGCCTTATCCATGCTGTGAGTGCAGGTAGAACACCTTATTTTCACCCTCAGGCCAGACTCTGCTCACAGAACCAGGGGCATAATGCCATGCTGTAGAATCTGACCCATAGTGTGCTCTGGGGGTATGGGCCATTGATCTAATTCCCTCTGCCTTCTCTCTTTCCCGTTGTGGGATGCGGCGTGGCCCCATCTGTGCAGGGGGTCCTGTGCAGTGCAGTTTTCCCAAGCTCAGGAATCCAATGCCATTTTGCCCTCTATGGAGCTGGAGGCACCCTTTGCATCAGGTATTTATGGCCCTGCCAACAAACATTGAGGATCGGGTGGGGAAAGCCAAGGTGGGTCTTCATGAGGTCTCCTGACTTGAAATGCTCTTTCAGGGCATAGTGCTGCAGGTTCCCTGGTCTTCTTCTCGTGGGTGGGGGAAAGCTCTCCCCAGGCAGTCAGCAGGGAGGGCAGGCTGTCCGGGGTGGGGATTCAGACCAGCATAGAAGCCAGCCCCAATGTCCCCAGTGTCTTGACAGGAAAGGGTCTGGAAAACACGCTTCTGTACCAGGGCGGGGGTGCCAGCGTGCGGCGAGTGCTGACGGGCTGGAGAGGGGCACTTGGAGCCGGGCATGGGCGCAGCTTCCCGCAGCCTTTCCACAGAGCCTTGGCCTGGCGCGGAGCGGGGAAAGGAGCGCAGGAGCACACATCGCACGTGTGTCCTAGCTGCCGGGCGCCCTGTGCCAGCGAAACGCGGCTCTGAAGCCAGCGCTTGGCGCCGAGAGACCCGGCGGAAAGTTCCAAGAGTTGGACACCAACTCGCTGGCTGCGGTCCCTGCTGCATCCAAAGGCGCCGAGGCAGCCTGCTCCGCCGGGACCGAGAGACAGCCCCGACCCGAGGCGCTGGGCCGGGGGCGGATCGGTTCCAGCTGGGGCGCTCCAGGGAGGGAGCACCCGGCCCGGCGCGGGCAGGGCAGAGGGGAGTGGCTGGGGGCAGGTAGGAAGGAAGGTGGCTCGCCCTGGGCAAGGGGACAGAAGGGACCTGGGGAGGGAGCGTGGCGGGCAGGGCAGGGCAGGGCCAGGGCTCCCATGGGGGCAGCGGGCACGGCGGGGGGGGGGGTTCCCCTGGGGGGAAGGGGGGGGGTTTCTAGGGGGCCAGGTCTGGAGGTGTCTCTTGGAGAAGCAGGGGAATCGGGATTCCCTGGGGGCAGGCGGGAGGGGTCCCCTGTGGGGCTCCAAGGGGAGGGTTACCTTGGGGGGCAGGCTGATGATGATGGGCAGCAGCACCAGCGGGGTGAAGAGTAACACCAGGAACCGGCGGATACTCCACACTTTCTTCACTAGGGCTCCGACCGCTGCCATAGCCCGACAGCCACCCAGCTGGACCCGACTGCGGCCGGGCGCAGGGGCCGCCGCTTTATCCCGGGGGGAGGAGAGTTACTCGGGGAGGGGGAGGGAGGGCTCTTACCTGGGGGCGGCACTGAGCACGGGGCCACTGCTGCTGGCCTGCCGCCCCCAGCCCCGAACAACCCCTCCCCCCCGCGTCCGGACACCTCCCACCCCCCCGCATGACAACCCCGCTCCTCATTCCTCACCACACCCCCTGTCCCGCATCCAGCCCCACCCACCCGCAGGCTCCCCGCAAGCTGTCCCGGGAGCCGGAATCCAGAGGCTGGCGGGGCCCCGGCAGACACCTGCCTGTTGCCTGTAGGAGAGGGAGCTTCCCCTCCCCGAGGTGAGGGGCGCATGATGTGCAAAGCAACCTCCAGCCCCCAGCCACGGAGCTGGTGAGCGGTGAACTCTGGGCAACTATGCTGAGCGATCTTGTCCAACCTGGCTAGATACCACCATGACGGGCTCCTTAGAAATCCCTAACCGCCTCGGGGCTGGGGCAAGGAAGAGTGGTTTTGCACCTAGTTCTTAGAAGCCATCGCTCAGCATCCTTGGAGCACTACCCATCCCTTGTGGGTCCCACAGTCAGCTCCCAATGATTGCTGGCACACCCTTGGAGCGCTCCCTAAGTTGGCCAGCCGGAGTTGGCCGAAGAACAGTTGTCCTGCTAGGGGAGGTTCTGGCCACCCTGCAGCAATAGGGCCTCTACCAGCTCTCCCTATCCTTGACCCTTCTGCAGGAAGCGCTGTCCTTTCTGCTGCTCACACCTCATGGGACTCGCTGCTGCTCATCACTCACTCCCTTTGGCTTGAAGGTCAGGGAAGTGCAACCCCCGTCTCTTGAGCCTGCTAGAATGACTCTACTTACTGCCATCATCCCGGCTTTCCACCGTTCATGGGTCACCACCCAGCAGATAGTAGGTCATATGAGAATGTGCTGCATGGAGTCAGAAGCACAGAGGTACCATTGGCTGCATGTGGTCTGGGTATGAATTAGGCTCCCTGAGTGCCATGGGGGTGAAGACAGCTCAGTATTAATCACTGGTGACACCATCTCCTTTTCTACAGCGAACTGGTAGCTGTCCTGAAGTGTTGTCTCAGTTATCAAACACCAGAGCCTTCTCTTCAAATCATCATCACAGAAAAGCGCCTGATTGCATCTATGACACAGCTACTCAGAGTGAATCCAGCTGTAAACTAACCCCACTTGCTTCACATGTATTACGCTAGCCGTGATTATGTGTGGCCTGCCCCGCCTTTCTGCAGCCGCTTAGCTTGTTTCACAATGTGGAGCTGGTAGTCCGAAGTTATTCTGCCAGTTGGCATTGCAGTAAGTGAAGAGAAATAGAGACAGTTGCTGTATATGCAACAACCTAGTTAAACAGTTCAGAGTTTAATAATAATAAATAATAATAGTAATATGAGCTCAAGGCCGAGTGATTTAAATGCTGCAGAGAAGCTGACAGCCCCTGAGCTAGTGTTTCCTTTCAGTCATTTTAGAAGCATGTTGTCCTTGGAGCAAATTTACCCCTTGTTCAACACTACTGAAGCCAGTAGTTACACCAGGGATGATTCTGGGCTGGCCCTAGTGTTTAGTGAGCACAAGCAGTGTATGTTTTGTTATCCTTGGGTATCTAATATGAAGAAACACTGACAGTGTTTGTGATACTGCAATTGGTCGCCTTTATTTTATCAGGTCCACACTGGGGCGGGGGATCGATCTAGGAAACGCAACTTCAGCTACGAGAATAGCGTAGCTGAAGTCGACGTTTCCTAGATCGAACTAAATTTACTTACTTCGGGTCCACGCGGCGCAGGCAGGCTCCCCTGTCGACAGCGCTTCCTCCTCTCGGCGAGCAGGAGTTCCGCAGTCGATGGGGGAGCGCTTCTGGGATCGATCTATCGCGTCCAGATAAGACGCGATAAATCGATCCCAGAAGATCGATCTCTACCCGCCGAATCAGGCGGGTAGTGTGGACCCGCCCTAGAAGGACAGTAATGGCAGCTTCTCCCCCAGATGTGCCTTTTACAGTGAATAGTAAGGCCCAGTATGAGAATGAGTCCATGAAGTAGTGAATACACATCTTGCCCTAGACTTCAGGGCACTCATTTTCATTTTGTGATAGTTTAGTATAGTCTTGATTCTCGATTGCCTTGCACCTTATATCATCATTTACACTTTTGCAAAAATGATGAGGATTCCCACAGGTGTGAGTGGAATATTCTGATTTGGGAGATCTCATCTGCTTACAGAGGTGCAAGGGAGAAGGCATTGGAAAAAAACACCCTTATTTTTAAAAAAATAGAGGTTTTGCCAGACTAAGAAATCTAAAGCAAAGGTCCAGTATAGAAATCAATTCAAAAAATGTCATGTAACTTTACATTTTGCACTGTTAAAGCTACAACAGGCAGGAAATGTAAAGTTAAGATTCCATCAGAAACATTAACAGTGTAACCTTCATTATTATTTAACATTTATATTACAGTAACACCCAAAGAGGCTTCAGCCGGGATCAAGGCCTAATTGCACAAGTAAATGCATTCTCTGCCATGAAGAGCTTAGAATTAGGTTTTGCAGTTAATGTCGAGAGTTTTTTAAAGAAAAAGTGGGAGAGGAAGGGGGAGGGTAGAGGGAATTAAAAATCCAGGGCTCCACAGTTTGCAATGTTTACAAAATGGGGGAGGGAGAGGAAAAGGGCTGCATTTCACAGCACATCTGCAAAAACTCTCATTGGTGGCAGGTGTGATAGGTATGGGTTGTATTGCTATAGGTGTAGCCATTGCATTATGCTTTGAAAATTTGGCCCCATGAATTAAATTCACATTTCAATCCAGATATCTATGGAATAGAATTCCAGACCTAGGGTCCTGACCGCCCTGTCTTTCCCATGCTGCCAAACAGGAGGAGATCCCCAGCTAGATGGAATAGGGGTCCCAGTATGAAAAGGGTTGAGAACCACTGATCTATAGGATTACAGTCCAGAAGTGAATATCTAGGCAAAGTTCTCACTGAGATCAGTGGTGTGTTGCCTGAGAAAGGATGTCAGGAATGGATATGGTCCAATAGCAGAAGGTAATGCTGCAGATCTGCTTAGCTTAGATTCTTGCTTTCTTTGTACTCTCCCACTTCACCCTCTCCCCCCTCCCACCTGTTACATCTTCCTCCATAATTTAGAGCATATTCTATTTAGATATTGTTCAGACACAGACATGGGTCAAAGGTGAAAAGTTCTATGTTGCAGAATGCACAGACTACAACTCAGCATAATGACAAGCAACAGGCATTGTCCCCAGAACTCAGACACAAGTTAATATCGGTCAGTGGAAAGGGCATGTTTCCGAAGATGACTTCTCCAGTAACAAGGTAACTAAAAGGCTCTTATCAATAACTAGAAGATAGAACCCTTGTCACAGTGGAATGCAGGTCAAACCTGACTCAGATAAAACAAAGGGAGGGGGGGGGGGGGGGGGGGGCGGTTGAGGGAGGTAAGGCTTTTCCCTCTACATGTTCCCTTCTCCACTAGAAGGCACTGAGATTAGGAAGAGCACAGACAAAGGAAAGAAGATGGAAGAGAGCCACACACATCATGTTGATTGATCTCCTTTCACAGTAACGAAGGATTAAAGAAACCAATTGACGACTTTGTTAGCGAGTTACCCTTAATCAGCTGATAAAGGGATACAGAGTGACCTGCAAACAAATCAAGCCAGCCTACGGGGTTGGCCAGACATTGTTCAAGTGAGTAGTGGCACTGTTTCATTAAGATTACTTGGTTAATTAAAAAAATAGACAAAAGCAAATAAATATTAATGTATAAAATGTGCCTAACACTCCAGCTGCTTGTATAAGGCAGTTTAAAAATACACACAGAGTAAAAACTTACTCGCTGTCAACATATAACAATCACTGAACTCCCTTCCCCAGCAACACAAGCCCATCTTCCTGCCATCTCCATGCAGCCCTAGTCACTCCCCCCTCAGAAAAAGCCTAGGAGAATAGAGATTTCTTGCAACATGCTTTGAAGACCAGCACATCTGGATTTCTTCAGACCACAGGGGCCAATTTATTCCAGAGCTGAATGACCTCCACTGAAAAAACCCTACCCCAAACCCCATAAAAACATATCTGGGACTACAGGCTTCTGAATCCTAATTGGTATCAAGTGTAGAGCTCTATCTCCAAGGTAAGGAAAAGACCAAAATCATACCAGTACCATACAGCATCTTCAGCTGCAACAGACTCCAAAGCAATTTGTAGATGGGGAGCCCACTTTTCAAACTTGGGCACCCAGTTTTCAGTCTGAGCACCCAAATGCAAAGCTAGTGCCCTCACTTATGTGGCAAGTATGAAAACTGGACCCTGTGTGTATGGGGATCATTTAGCCCACCACTGAAAAGCAGCTGCTTCTGGGATGGAAATGCAGCAGACATGCTGCACCAGCAACACTCTGCCATCATATTTATAGGAGAAGTGAAGAGTAACTACAGTAATGCAATTGAAATTCCAGGGGCAAGTGTAGTAAAGAAGGTAAAGCTGGAATTTGTCCAGGATACCACGGTTAATACCCCTACTCTTGTGGGAATCTTTAATGACTACAATTGGCACATCTTATCCAAAAGACGGCGTATCCAGCGAAAGAGCAAGCACCTTGCTGAGGCATTGGTTCAGGAACGACAGAGGAAAGAGTAACTCCAGCACTCTCTGCAGTACAGCGCCCCCTAGCACCATGCTGAGGCAGTGGCAGAGTACTAAGTAATAAGGGTGCCAACCAGGCCTGAGTTAACTAACATGCACTCGGGGCATTTGCACAGGGCACCCATCTCAGGAGCACCCAGACCACCAGGTTTGGGTGGGTAGCATTGTGACGACAGGCCAAACCTGAGTGGTGCTGCGACCAGACACATGAGATTACAACACCCCTCACTCAAATTTAGCCTGGCTGTCCCCACCACAGGCCAAATTTGAATGAGTGGCGTTATGACCTGGCAATGCCACCCACTCAGATTTGGTCCTTGCAGTGTGA